CATTTCAAGCTATGCTAATACAGGCTTCAAACGGTCAGATTAACATTAAATAGCTGCATTCTAAGAAGTGTAATGTGTTCTGCCCACATGGACGGATGGCAATGGGGAAAGCTGAGATGTTTGCAGTACACATTTGATCAATGAATGTTAATTTTTGCCACTCTCTATGCCAACCAATCAATAAAGGAGAATATTTCTAGCTCAGGGTTGAAATGTAGGATCCTTGGAGCTTTTTGAGCTTGGTTGCTGTTGTGGCTCCGTTACCTGAGCCTGTGTTATCGGAGGGAGAAGGCTCCGAACATGAAGGAGAGGAGTTGGCCAGGCCTCCCTCTCCAGGACCCTCCTCTCTGGCAATGCCTCAGGTGTCTCCCGAAGGAGAAGAGATTGGCCAGGAGCCAGGTATCTCCTCGAAGTCAGACAGTGACGGAGATAAGTCTTGGCTGGATCCACGCCAGCGTCGGAGAGACAGGCGCACGCAGCAGAAGAGGAGGCGTGCCAGAGATTAGGCTGAGTCACTGGACCACACACCACAGGGGATAAAAGGGGGTGAGGTGGCCATTCAGACTCTGTGACGGACAAAACAAACTACTAGTGAGTCACATTGTATCTTTGAAACAACGTTATCTGCCTTGGATTTAATACGGACTGGACTTGACAATTCTTGAACTGTGTGTATCTTGTTTGGGTTTATCTGTCAGAGGAATAACCCCTCCCACTATGAGTAAAGTTCTTGGCAAGCAGCTACTGGGTTGCTGCCAATCCTCTTATCGAAAGAATTTGTTGTCTGCCAGTTTTATTTAACCCCTGACTATCTGTTTGTGTGCGTGTGTGAGACGGGGACAGAACAGTTGCTTTCTTGTGGATGTTTCATTACCCCACTAGGTAACATCATCAGTGCTACAAGCGAGTGGGGTTTGCAGGGAGGAGGAGGAGGAGGAGGAGGAGGAGGAGGAGGAGGAGGAGGAGGAGACTATGGGGTGATTGGTGATCTCTGAGCTTGGTTGTTTTCTTGTAGACATTTCATGACCCAAGTAGGCAATGTCATCAGGTCTAGAAGGGATTGGGGTTTGCAGAAAGGAGGAGGAGGAGGAGGAGGAGGACTGTGTTGTGGTCCGCCAGCAGCCTGCAGAGCTGGCAGTAGAGTTGGATAGTGAGGAGGCTGGAGAGGAACATGGGCCAGTCCTGGAATCTGGGGAAGGCCCAGACAAGGGATCTGTGTTGGAGGCAGAGATGGGGCCAGGGCCATCTGGGAGTGATACGTGGACTTTGGAGCCCGCAGATTCGGACAGCAGAGAGGCAGAGGAACAGGAGGAGCCTGTTCCTAGTGCACGCATGCGCAGAGCTGCCAGAAGGCAAGAGCAGCTAAAGTAAAAGGGACGACTCAGGAGTAAGGCCAGGAGATGATTGGCCCCTCCCATAAGTCTTAAAAGAGAAACAAAGGCACTTGGGGCCTTTTGCAGGAAAGCAACGTTGCTAACTCTGTTTCCAGTTGGCATCTCTTGTTTGTTTCTGAACTTCGTGGGGCTTTGCCAAATAAGGCCTTTGGCAGGATGTCAAAGAAAATAAAGGTTGGTGAATATCCCGAAGGGCTTCTTCCGAAGGACTTGTTTTGCAACTAATTGGGACTCAGCTGGGAATGAACGTAATTCTCTGCTGTTACAATAAAATAGGTTTATTTGGGACTAATTGTGTCCTAAGCCTAGAACACAACAGACTGTGGGGTGCTTGATGCTCTCGGAGCTTGGTTGTTTTCTTGCAGACATTTCATGACCCAGCTAGATAACATCATCAGTGCAATTAGTGCTGTCCCTGCAACACTCAGTTGTTGCCTCTGAGAATATCTGTGTCTACAACCACTGTACAAAGAGCCTGCTAATGAGTGGCTTTTGTTCCACAAAATCTATCTGTATCTCTTCTGCATAAACCACCTAACTCATTTTCAGATACGTTAAAGAGAATATCTGAGTGCATTGAGAAGAGACAGGCAACCAGAATAAATAAGAATTAATGGGCTCTTGAACCACTTAAGCTATCTTTCCTTAACCAGAAAGTCAACTGGAACTTGGGAGACACTCACTGAGCCTTATGAAGTTTATTCTCTTTAATCTCAGTTGGTGGAAGGCTTCATTTGAGTTGGGGAGAAAATGAATCACATTCGGAGGCAGAGAGAATGACAAGATATACTGATCGTTGTCTCACCAAGCATTCCAAAATTAGGAATCTCAAACTCCTTTGCATGATATGTTTGTTCGGTTGTTTATATATAATTTTTTTATTAAAAAAACCAGACAAAACAAATATAAAACATTCCATCTTTCCTTATGCAATATGTCGTCTGGGTACATACATCTCTGTGCTACATCGTTATATCATTTATCACATATTTCACAATCACACTAACATTAATTTTATAATATGTTAAGTACTTTACACATTTAAATATTGTAAAATTCCCTGTTTTCTTCTTAGAATCTTTTGATAATAATACCCTATTAACATCAAATATCATGATTCTCTCCATACATATACTAACACTTTTCATCTTGTTTATAACTCTTTCTTAATATGTTTTCTACTTATTTTTGGTCTCCTTCATTTCCAAGCTCCATTTTCATTCTCCAACCATTGATAAAATACTTCCCGTATCATATAATATTCAGTTTGCTCTTTCTCGATAATTGCAAACATTAATCTATTCATTTCAGCACATTCTAATATTTTCCTTATCACCTTCTCTTCAATAGGAATCTCTCCACTTTTCCAATGTTGTGCAAATACAATTCTAGCTGCAATTAATACATGAATAATTAAACATACATTCTCTTTATTATAGGTTTCCGGCAGGGGTGAAATGCTCCCGGTTCGGACCTGATCACCCGATCCAGTAGCGATCGGGGCGGGTGGTTTGGAGAACCGGTAGCAAAAATCCCTGCCCCCCCCCCCAATCCCCCATGCCCAGCTGAGCCGCACAATCATCAGAGGCTTTTTCTTTTAATTTTTAAAAGCATTTTTTCTACAACCTCTTCGGCCGAAAAAATGCTTTTAAAAGAAAAAAAAAGCCTCTGATGATCGCGTGCCTCAGTTGGGATCCTCAAAGGGATCGTTAGTTGATGATCCCAGCTGAGTTGCCTGATTGGCAGAGGCTTTTTTTCTTTTAAAAGCCTCTGACGATCCAAGCTGAGTTGCCTGATCAGCAGAGGTTTTTTTTCTTTTAAAAGCCTCTGATGATCCAAGCTGAGTTGCCTGATCGGCAGAGGTTTTTTTTCTTTTAAATGCCTCTGACGATCCAAGCGGAGTTGCCTAGTCAGCAGAGGCTTTTTTTCTTTTAAAACCTCTGACGATCCAAGCTGAGTTGCCTAGTCAGCAGAGGCTTTTTTTCTTTTAAATGCCTCTGACAATCCCAGCTGAGTTTCCTGATCGGCAGAGGTTTTTTTTTTTTTTTTAAAAGCCTCTGATGATCCAAGCTGAGTTGCCTGATCGGCAGAGGTTTTTTTTTCTTTTAAATGCCTCTGACGATCCAAGCGGAGTTGCCTAGTCAGCAGAGGCTTTTTTTCTTTTAAATGCCTCTGACAATCCCAGCTGAGTTTCCTGATCGGCAGAGGTTTTTTTTCTTTTAAATGCCTCTGACGATCCAAGCGGAGTTGCCTAGTCAGCAGAGGTTTTTTTTTCTTTTAAAACCTCTGACGATCCAAGCTGAGTTGCCTAGTCAGCAGAGGCTTTTTTTCTTTTAAAAGGCAACTCAGCTTGGATCGGCAGAGGCTTTTAAAAGAAAAAAAAAACCTTTATAAATCCTATCCCACAATTTCTGCCACTTTCTCCCACAAAATTTTTCACCCATGCTATCATTGTCTCTTTTAAATGTTGGTAGAGGAAGAGGTCATGTGATTTACATTTGGATGCCTGACAGCTGACTCATATTTATGACGGTTGCAGTGTCCCTGAGTCATGGGATCCCCTTTTGTGACCTTCTGAGAAGCAAAGTCAATGGGGAAACCAGATTCACTTAACAACCGTGTCACTAATTTAAGAACTGCAATGATTCGCTTAACAAATGTGGCGAGAAAAGTCGTAAAATGGAGCAAACTCCCTTAATGAATTTCTCACTTAACAACATAAACTTTGGGCTCAGTTGGGGTCGTAAGTTGAGGATGACCTGTATTAGATTTTTATCCTGCGTTTTACTATTTTATAGGTTTACTATTTTATAGGTAGCACCAGGTGGTGAACATGCATAATATTTCTTCCTCCTCTTATTTTTCCCCCAAAACAACAACCCTGTGAGGTGGGTTGAGCTGAGTGAGAGGGACTGGCCCAAAGTCATCCAGCTGGCTTTCATGCCTAAAGCGGGATTGGAACTCATGGTCTCCTGAGGATTGGGCTCAGTGGCTAAGACGCTGAGCTTGTCGATCGAAAGGTCGGCCGTTCAGTGGTTTGAGTGCCGTGGAATGGGGTGAGCTCCCATTACTTGTCCCAGCTTCTGCCAACCTAGCAGTTCAAAAGCACATAAAAAATGCAAGTAGAAAAATAGGGACCACCTTTGGTGGGAAGGTAACAGCGTTCTGTGCGCCTTTGGCATTTAGTCATGCCGGTCACATGACCAAGGAGACGTCTTCGGACAGCGCTGGCTCTTCGGCTTTGAAACGGAGATGAGCACCGCCCCCTAGAGTCAGGAACGACTAGCAGATATGTGCGAGGGGAACCTTTACCTTTACCTTTAATATCGAAGGAGCTGCCACAAGGACAAGAAATAACTGATGGAAACTTATCAAGAAGAGTTCCAACCTAGAACCAAGGGGAAATTTATTATTCTAACTGTTAATTAATTGTTCTAACTTCAGTTCCCGGAGAGAAATCCTTAATGGATGTCTCAAACCTTTCCCTCATGTCAAGGACCAACTGGCTCTGTTTGAAGAATAGGAGCTGCATTCTAATTTCCTGAAAAGCCCCGAGGGTATTGGTGACGCTATTGTTCCAAGCATTCTGGAACAGCGAAATGTTCCAGAAACAATCTAAGAAGAAAAATCAGGCAGATGGTTCCCAGGTTATGGCGTTTATTATTTTAGCTGTCCTGTATTTTACCCTGGGATTGATGGCCAACTCTGTTGGAGAACTACATCCTAAGAGTCCTTTTACATGATGGAGGAGGTTATATCTCAAGAGCCTCCTTGTGTGATGGGTTTGGAGTTGCGAGGAGGAGGAGGAGGAGGAGGAGGAGGAGGAGGAGGAGGAGGAGGA